GAAGTCTCAGACCAGCAGAGGCAAAGCTGGAGAGCATACCCTGGCAGCCTGTCCCCGGCGCCCAGCTCCGGACAACGCCACAGTCCTCGCGGCACACAGTCGGCGCTCACCAGGCATCCACGGGACTAAACGAGGGCAGGCTGGGAGGCAGTTGCAGCTCCTCCCCACCTGCAGAGCTCTCCTGTGCTGGCAGATGAACCTCAAGCTGCTTCCACATTGGCAGAGCGCTGGCTTTGCGGCTGTAGGCAGGGAAGCAGGAACCACGTAGATGTTTCCCCACGCGCCTCCGGCGGCCCCCAAAGCTCTCCCCAAGGCTGTTCCTCCAGTTCCCTTGCAGAGACCCTTGACTCTCATCTCCTCCCAGGAAATCCCGCTCTCAGGGGCCCTCGCTCGGCAGGCAGGACCCAGGACCACCGCGTGGATGGGGCTGGGGGGTGAGGGGCAGAGAGTAGTGGGGTGGGCCCGCGCCGTCGGGGCGCCGCAGAGGAAGACTCGTCTGCATCCTGAAGGGAGGACACGAGGTGATTAGAGCCGAGACAGATGGCGGGGCCCCAGCAGGCTCCCTCTGTGAACCAGGTTTCTCTCCTGGCCCAGCCTCCTTCTCCTCCGGGTTCAGGGCGGCTAGAGGCCGACAGGGAAGCCCTCCCCTGGTCTGTGACGTGGACCCGGTACTGCAGGCAGTTGCCCAGGCAGCGGCCACCCTTCCTAGCGTCCCCTGCACCGCGCACTGCCGAGTCCTCACCACTGGACTTGGGGCAGGGGTGACGCGGGCCCCGGTGGTTCAGCAGTGGGCGTGATTCTCCTGCCTCTCTCTTCTCTGGGGGCTCACAGTCAGGGCCCAGACTGAAGCTGACAGAGCCTCCGTCAGCCTGGGCCCCTGGGTGGCGGCGTGGAGCAGAGTCCCCCACTGCCCCCAGGTGTGTACTCGCCATTGGGACCCGAAGTGCCTGGGCCTGTTGGCCTGAGCCATCACACACTTCGTAGTCTCTTTGTTAGAGCAGCTGGCCTCCCTGAACCCACACTTACTCCCAAACCACTCCTGTTCCTTTTCCCTCCCTGGCATCACCATTCTCAGTGCAGTTAGTAAAGCTAAACACGTTCTAGATACGTTTTCTAGACAGACTTACGAATGCGTATACCAGGAAGCAGCTCCAAGAATGGTCAGTCACGTTGTTTGTTAAGGAAACATGGGAAGAATCTGAGACACACTGGCAGAAAAATCTCCTTCACAGAAAGAAAACTACACGGCAGTGAAAAGGGATGAACTCCAGTGACCCGGGTGTGTATCAGGACTGTCTGGGAAGCTTTATAATATACGGATGCCGAGGCCGAGAGGTTTGGTCTCGGGAGGCCTGGCTGGAGGGGTCGGTGGCCCAGGAATCTGTAGTTTTAATGACTCTTCCAGGAAATCTTGTGCAGTTTGTTTAAGAACCTCTGGCCCAGCAAGAAAATTTGAATGCAGCAGGAGCTGTCTGGTTATTGGAGATGCCATCTCAGTCCAGGTGACTGCCATAAAAAGGAAGCAGCGCGTGCTAAGTCGCTTCAGTCGTGTCCAACTCTGTGCGACCCCATGGACTATAGCCCGCCAGGCTCCTCTGTCCTTGGGATTCTCCAGGCAAGAACACTGGAGTGGGTTGCCATGCCCTCGTCCAGGGGATCTCCCTGACCCAGAGATTGAACCTGGGTCTCCTGGGTTACAGGTGGATTCTTTACTTCTGAGCCACCAAGAAGGCCCAGAGGAGGCCATGGCCCCCCTGAGACTGCTGGCTGCACATGAGGGGAGCGGCAGAGATGCCCAGGAGGACGGTGTGGTGGGGGTCGCTGACTCTCCATCCTGGCTGCGGGGCGGCATCATTGGGCTGCTCTCGGCAACGCCCCAACCTCCAGACGGAGTCTCCAAGGGGGAGGAAGACTCTGCCAGGTTTTGAAAACCTTCCAGGTGATTCCAATTTGAGAACCACGAGAATGGCTGGTTAAGAACCAGGTTACGGAGGTCACCCGTCCAGGCTCGAACTTGTCTCCGCCACTTCACAGCTCCATGACCCGGGCAGCTTTCGTCATTCGTGCCTCAGTGTCCTTGTCTATAAAGTGAGGCTAATAATTGCAACTTCATGCTAGCCTGTCATGAAGAGCAGACGAGATGATGCGTGTAAGGAACCTGGCACACGCCCAGCACAGCCCACGCTCACCATCACCCCGCCGTAGGGGGTGGGGATGATGGTGACCTTGTAGGAAAGGACAGCTCCGTGGACTCTGTCCAGTCGTCCAGAATTCCTCTCCAGCCACCCTCCCCTGGAGCCTCGGCCATCCCGCCCGATGCATCTGTCCTGCAGGGCTGTGGGGGAAGGGGCAGGAGACCACAGCGTTGGGCAACCTCCTGCTGGGCCCCGCAGTTACTCGTTCCTGATTCTGAATGCAGAGTGAGTCAGGCGGGCCCAGGGCCGCCCGAGCCGTCAGTCCATGCGAGAAAGACAGGCTCTCCCTCCTGTCTGGACAGGAGGGCCCCGGGCCAACCTCAGGCCGCTGAGCCCAGCAAGCTGTGACCTGAGAGCTGGCAGGACAGCCTTCCCTTCCTCCCTCCCAAATCCGGCTCCGGGTCTCAGAGGGCCTCTGTCCTCTATTAGAACGCAGACATTGGGAGCATAGATACACAGCGGTCACGTGGGCAGGGTCTGGGCATGTCCTGTAAGCCATCGTTTAGCAGGTACTACATGCCGGGCACATGTAGCTCCTCATATAACCCCACGCAGGCTCTGTGAGGCAGACACAGCTTCATGCCCATTTGCAGAGGAGGAAACGGAGACTCATAGACGTAAAGCATACGCTGAGAAGGGCCAGTTCAGCATCGGGTCATCCGACTCTGGGGCACGTGGCCCTTCCGCCACGCGTGACGCTTGGTCCCGGGCTGAGGTGTGCGGGGTGTGTGGGCAGCGTGCCCTGAGTCAGGCCCTGGGGGGCGCAGAGAGGGGCAGGACGCTTCAGACTGGGCGCAGCGAGTCCCCTCCTTCCGCAGCCTCTGCCGCCCAGCTCTCCACCCTGCCGGGGCTGTGGGCGCTCCCCACCTCCAGGCCTCCGCTCGCCCTTCCCAACGCCCGGAAGCTGGCTCCCCACTCACCCACTGCTCCAGGCCACCCTCCGGGGTCAGCTCAAACAGCACCCGCTCTGGGCGGTGCCGGCTATCCCGCCAAAGCAGGTCACCTCCCCGTTATGCCTCCACTTTATGGCACTCATTACAATTTCCAGTTATTTGTGCTTCTTTTCACGCTGTCTCCCTAGATACGAACTCCTGAGGGTAGAGATTATCTCTGGCAAATAGTTCATGCACGTTGAATATTTTTAGAATGAACAAATGAGGAGGTAACAGGTTTTGAACCAGCTTTTGCTAGGATATAATAGCTGGCCCAGTCAAGCCACCTTCAGGCTCCCTTGGGACCTCTGTCCTCACTCCCCAGGGTCAAGCTGGCCCCGGGTTGAAGGAACCACAATATGGGTGGGGGAGGGGAAGGAGTTGCTCCACAAGAACTCAGGCCTTGCTCTGGTCTCCCTGGAGGTTTCCAGGGACCAAACGGGGTACCGCAGGCAGCCGTCTGGGGTGGTGATGGTGGAGGGGACTCTCGCCCCAGGCTTGATGAGGCAGCCTGCGGTGCTCTTAGGAGCCACTCTGCCTGCATCCCTTGGACCCCAGGTCTCAGGCTGGTGTTGAGTCAGGACTGAACGCAAGTCCTGGAGGAAGAGTTTACGGACGGCATCTCTCTCCTGCCGACTCCGTGACACCTGTCAAGGGGCCAAGCTGGATTTCGGAGGGGGCAACTGTGGTCCAGATTGTGGAGATCAGAAGGGCCAGTCTGGTTGTGGTGGCCCCCCAAGGGGGTCCACGTCTGAACTCCCAGAACCTATGAACACATTACCTTACATGGCAAAGGGGAATCAAGGCTGCAGACAGAATTAAGGTCGTGAATCAGCGACCCAGAGACCGTGGAGGATCCTGGCTTATCCAGCTGGGCCCAATCACAAGGGTCCCAGAGAGTGGAAGAGGGCAGAAGAGTTGGGGGAATACGTGATACTACGACACAGGCTCTGAACCTGGAGGAAGGGGTCGCAAGCCAAGGAGTGCTGGGGGCTCCTGGAAGCTGGGAAACATAAGAGATTCCCCGCTAGGGCTGCCTGAAGAAACAATGCCTTCCAGATTTCTGACCTCCAGAACTTTAAGATTATAAATCTGCTTTGTTTTAAGCCACTGAGCTTGTGGCAATTTGCTACAACAGAGAGGAAACGCATGCACTGGCTATGCTGTTGCGGTGTGGACAGGTGAATGGTGTCCGCAGGGACCCAAGCGAGGACTGAGTTTGCTTCCTCTGCCTTTGAGGCAAGGTTCCTGGGCTGCAGGAGCCTTCCGGGGGCACAGGAGTCACGCTTGAGCCACGAGAAGTGTCTCAGACTTGTTGCTGGGTCCACCTGCGGCCTCACAAAGAGGACCTCGTGGCCAGTCTGGGGGCATTCAGGGCGAGAAATGCCTGTTTGGAAACCCACCCGAGTTCTGATTCTAGGCATGTGCTTTCTGGAGGCATGTACCTCCACTGAAATTCCTTCAAAAAACAGTTTTCTCAACACCCTCGTTGGTCTCAGCTTGCCTTGGAAGTGGGCTTATTCTGTCAGAATCCGGTCACACGAGGGGCGGTGGCAGTCTGTTCCAGAGATTCTAGGTAAGACGGTGGCCAGGAGGGGATGCGGGGTAGGGGGAGGCTGTGGGATCTTCTCTAACCACCCGGAAACCACCCAGCCCTGGGGCTGAGGGAGTTGCTCTGAGTCTTGCATCTCCAGAGAGAACACGGGGGTTGGCAGGGAGGAGCCCAGGGAGCAACCTCCAGGGGCTCCAGAGCAAGCCCGCAGGGCCTTTACGGGTGGTCACGGCCTCCCCGCAGACAGGAAGGAGGGCGCCACTCAGGGCACACGCAAGCTACCCCAAGGTCCACACCCCGGCTTCCCATTGCCACACTCACAATGCAACTTTCCGGCCACAGCCCAGACCCTCGCCCGGCCGTGTTCACCAGGTCCTGGTAGCCTGGCATTTGAGCCCTGCGCTTGCATTTACACATCGTATCATTGCAACTGGCCGTGGTGACCCATGGGATGAGTCCCGTGGCCAAGATGGAACAACCTCACAGTCTTAACCAAAATTTGGGCTTCTCAGCCTCAAATTCCTGGAGGCCTAGGCAAGCAGATGCTTCAGCTGCAAGAAAGTTCTCTGCTCCTGCTGTCTAGAGGGAGCCACACTGCTTAGATTCACACTGTTTGTGTTTCTCTTGATTTATTAGCCAGTGATGGAAGCACAGCTGGACCCACACAGAGCACCCATGGAACTGACAGACACCTGGAGAAAGCCACGCCACCTCCTTCCCTGCCCACCTGAGCTCAGATTGGTCCATCCCCAGAGCCCTCCTGTCGTGAGTGGTCTCGGGGGTTTGGCCCCACCAGGCCCCCTCTCCTGAGGCAAAGCAAGATGTGGATCGTTGACCTGGGGTCAACAGAAAGCCCAGGACTGATGCTACCAGGGGTCTCCCCTCCTGCAGAGAGGCCCAGGGCCACTAAGGCATCTTATGTCTTATGAAGGACATTTTGCACCCTTGCACCCAATCTTCCCAATCTCCAGGAATTCCCCAGATATTGTCATCTCCAAGAAATTCCAGGATTTAGAACCAAACCCAATTTCTAAGGGTCAGATGATGAGATGTTTCTCAGGCTAAGTAAGGCGTGGCTAATGTCTCTTCAACACACATCTAGAAGCACGTACTATGCTGGGTGCTGGGCAAGGGAGATTTCAACAGCTGGTCAGAGGCTTGGGAGTTGGAATGCTGGTCCCACCTCAATCTAAACAGACCTCTGCTCCTTCACTGTGGGTGAAGCTCTGGGCTAAATCTCTCCTGTCCTGTGACTTTAGGAAATGAGCTCCCCTGCAGAGTGAGAAGCAATCAGACCAAAGCAGGATCGTGGGTCCTTCCTGCCTTAGGACTCACAGGCCCAGCAGGCAGAGGAAAGGTGTGGATGTTTCTTAGACTCCAGAGGGTATTAGGCTCCACACAGAGGATTTGGGGGTGGAGAGGGGGTTGTTTGGAGGAGTCCCCTTGGGTCATGCTGATCTGCAAGACAGACCACAAGAAACGAGGTCCTTCTTGGGGAGCCAAGGGGGTCAAGTCTGAGAACCTCATGGGCAGCAGGCAAGGCGTTTGAACACTTGGAGGCAAAGGCTTCCGAGCGGGAGCTCCATCCGTAACCTTGGGGTCTCTTGACACTTATTGTTCAGGGGCCTGTTTCGGCCTCCATCACCCAGGCGGACAGCCCACCCCGGGGGGTAAAGGGTGGTGGCGGGCGGCTCAGGGCTCCATGTGCCACCACTTGAAGGAGAAGGGCTGCCGGCGCACGTTGGTGCCGCAGTGCACCTCCCCGTGCAGCATGTGGTATGGGGTGAAGTCGTCGATGAAGGCGCAGTGCAGGCCCAGCGGCTCCAGCAGGGACCGCACCTTCTCCTCCAGGCAGCAGCGGCCGTTGATGACGGGCCCGAAGGGCTTGGGGATGCCCAGGTGCTTGCCCAGCACCAGCATGTTCACCTGCAAAGAAGGGGCGCCCAGGTCAGGGGCGGCATCAGCTCCCAGCCCAGCACCTTCTCTATGCTCAGAGGGGGCGCCCAGGTCAGGGGCGGCATCGGCTCCCAGCCCAGCACCTTCTCTACACTCAGAGGGGGCGCCCAGGTCAGGGGCGGCATCGGCTCCCAGCCCAGCACCTTCTCTGTGCTCAGAGGGGGTGGCCAGGTCAGGGGCGGCATCGGCTCCCAGCCCAGCACCTTCTCTATGCTCAGAGGGGGCGGCCAGGTCAGGGGCGGCATCGGCTCCCAGCCCAACACCTTCTCTATGCTCAGAGGGGGCGCCCAGGTCAGGGGCGGCATCGGCTCCCAGCCCAGCACCTTCTCTACGCTCAGAGGGGGCGCCCAGGTCAGGGGCTGCATCGGCTCCCAGCCCAGCACCTTCTCTACGCTCAGAGGGGGCGGCCAGGTCAGGGGCTGCATCGGCTCCCAGCCCAGCACCTTCTTTATGCTCAGAGGGGGCGCTCAGAGGGGGCGCCCAGGTCAGGGGCGGCATCGGCTCCCAGCCCAGCACCTTCTCTATGCTCAGAGGGGGCGGCCAGGTCAGGGGCGGCATCGGCTCCCAGCCCAGCACCTTCTCTGTGCTCAGCGGGACCTGGTGTTGTCTTTGAAGCAGCCTTGCAAACAGCCACTCGCCGCTCCAGGCAGCGAGGGAGTGACGTGGTCTGGCAAGAGCTCTAACCAGCTGTGCCCGTGCAGAGCTCACAATGACGACGTCTCTCCCTGGGGGCTGCCCGCCTTGTGGGCAGGCTGTGGCAGCTGCCAGGTCTGTGCTACAGAATCCCGAACTCCCAGGCTACAGCCGAGGGGACCAGGGGAGATGTGTGACCCAAGCTGGACCAATCAGATTCCCTCTTCGGGCGGTGCCGTCACCACGGTGGGAGAGCTGAGTCTCTCTCCCTGTGTCTGCACTTCTCTGGGGCCATATTAATGTTCGTCCCCAGCGACAGAGAAGATAGGGAAGCCAAGCAAAAGAGGAGGCTAGGAGGAAGGGGAGGGATGAGCGGTGTAGACGTGGAAACAGGAGCTGGTTCCAGCCCCTCCTAACGCCCCCCACGGCGGCCACCCCTGCATCAGCCTTATGCTAAATCTTCGGCTCTGGCTGAAACCCGCTTCAGTGGTCTTCTGTCTCCTACAAACACAAGAATCTGGAGCACTGCAGAAGCTTCTGGGGGCACGGACCTCATGGCAAGGCCTCCCTGGAGACGCAGGAAGGAAAGGGAGTAATGATAGGCTTTGCAAGTGGGGAAATCAAAGAGGGCAAAAAGGCAGAACAGGGAAGGAAAAGGAGGGATGAAGCAAGGGTGGTGTGGACAGGCTGCCCGCAAGTCACTGACGATGGGCAAGTCTGGTTCCTCCCAGGGATGGAGGTGGGGAGGGTGCAGAGGGGGAGGGGAAAGGGGCAGGAGGGAGCTGGCTGACTGCCCGCTGCGCTGCTCGAGGGGTGGGCCTCAGAGAGCCCCCGGGGGTTCACTGTTAGAAAGGCAGCGAGTCTCAGGCCCCTGAGGGGTCAGAACCGCTGGGGTGGGGCCCCAACGACCCAGTGTTCCAGATGCAAGTTCAAGTTTCAGAGACACCCGAGGCAAAGCCCCCAGCGCGCAATCAAAGGCCGCTTCTTCCATGGAGCCCTCTTGGGCCTCCAGTCCTGCCTCTCAGGCTGGAAGTGCTTCGCTTCACCTCTGAACTGGCACATCACTCTACCACACAAAGTAGATCTTTGGGACAAACCCTCAGAGAGGTGAAGCGAGTTTCTCCCCGACCAGGTTTGACTGGCAGCTCCTTGGGAGCAGGGAGCAGCCAGAGGCATCTCTGCCTCTCACACAAGGAACCTTAAATATGTGGGGCTGGGTGAGCATCCGGGAGCTGGGGAAAGGGAGCAGCAAGGGTATCTGACCTTCCAGTGGATGCTACGCGCACAGCCCCATGCAATCTTTCGCTCACTCCGCAAATACCGAGTGAGTCCCTGGGAGGAGAGGAGGGCCCTTGCCTGATGGGCCCAGAGTGCAGGCTTGGCCAGTGAGCATTTCGTAGTGACTGTGACAATCGGTCAAGAAGAGGTCCTTCTGCTGGGATCGTGGGACCTCGGAGTCTCCCTGCCCCCAGCCCTGGCCCCCTCAACCCCAAACACAACTGCCGCAGGCGTTTGGCCCCTGGGGGGAGGGGGGGCTTGGCGCCGAATCTGACAAAACCGTAAGTCCTGGCTGACGGCCTCACCAAGTCTGGGAAGAAGGCCACGGCCTTCCTCCTCTCCATCTTGAACAGCTGCGGGATGTCCACGATGTCCCGCTCAGTCAGGCCCAGCTCCCGCTTCAGCACTTCCCGGTTCCAGTCAATGCAGCTCTGGGGGCGCGGGAGGGAGGGGGAGTCAGGGAGGCCTGGCCGGTGCCGGGAGGGGGGCACCCCAAGGGGCACGTCTGCTTAAGGAAGGACAAGATGCCCAAGTGCCCACAGGTCAGCCCTCCACACGAACCTCGTCTTGTGCGCCTTCATCGAAACATGCCTGCTCGGGTCCCCCCGCCGCAGCCTCAGCCCCTGGCAGGGCCCACGAGAGCGTGGCTCAGGGTGCTCCGTCCACCCGCCCCCTTCTCTAAATAGAGCCTCACCCTTCCGCGATCTCCTTCAGTCTTATGGTTTAAGGCACCAGACCCCGCCAACTCCCACATTTCTACGTCCCAGCCCCTGAGCCATGGACGGAGGAGCCTGGCGGCTTCAGTCCACAGGGCGGCAAAGAGCTGGAGATGACCGAGCACCCACACGGGAACCTTCACAAAGCCCGACGCTTGCCCTCAGCACAGACTTGAAGACACAACCAGCCCTGTGCATCTCCACCGGGATGTCTGACGGGCACATCAGACGTGAGGAGTCCAAAGACAAGCTTTCATCTCTACCCACCGCTCCACGCCCTCCCTACTGCATCCTCAGCTCTGGAATCATCGCTGCTCAGACAAAGGCACTGACAAGTACGCGCGCCCACACACAGCTAGCGGGAGCTTGCCTGCAGCACGTGGAGCTGAGCCAGGGGCCCTGTGATGACTCTGGAGGGCGGGGAGCCGGTGTTATCAGCTGACCCACTTCCTCGCAGAGCAGACGCTAACACACCATCATAAAGCAGTCCGGCTCCCAGGTGACTCCGTGGGTAAAAGAGTGTCCGCCCCCAACGCATGAGATACAGGAGAGGTGGGTTCCATCCCTGGGGCGGGAAGATCCCCTGGAGGGTATGGCAACCCATCCCAGTGTTCTTGCCTGGAGAACCCCATGGACAGAGGAGCCTGGCGGGCTACGATCCACGGGGTCGCGAAGGGTCAGACACTGCTGAAGTGACGGAGCGTGCAGACCGCACACTCCAGTGAAAAAGAAAACCCTGCAGTCATTCTTGACGCCTGTCCTCTCACTCTGCCTTCGTCAGGGAGTCCCGAGGCTCTTCCATTTACTTGCAAAACATGCCCCATCCGACCCCCTCCACCTGACCCGGGCTGTGGGGCATCAGGGACCCGCCTGTCCTACCTGCCCCTGCCCCCAGGGCCAGCTCGCCCGGCCTCCTCCACTCCTGCAGGCACGCTCCCTAATTCAGTCTCTGTGAGGGTCACCCCCATCCCGGTGTGCACTTCTCGGAGGGCCCTGCGCTGGATATTGTCTGTTCTTCTGGACCCCTGTCCCCCTTCTTCCCCACGCTGCGTGCTGGGAGGCTGACCCTTGGGAACCAGGGGCCCCTGAACCCACAGGCTTCCCGCTGGGCTGAGCCCGTGGGGGCGGTGGCAGAAGGTGGGGGCGCTGCTGGGAGAGTGTTTGGGGTCACGGCAGGTTGGCTGTGCAGTCCCAGCTCCCGTCTTACAACCTCTTTTTTTAAAATTTATTTATTTAATTGGAGGCTAATGACAACATTGTGGCCGTGTTTGGAGTGACCCCTCCAGGTTTCAGTAACATGCTCCTCGGCCAATTCCTCCAGACCTGGGGGAGGGGAGAGCTCCCCTCTTCCTACCCTGGGGATGTGGAATAGGCCCTTGTTGATTTCCTCAAGCCCACCCTGTGCCTTTGCAAACATGCCCTTTACTGAACCGCTCTCTGGCATCCACTTGAAGTGCCCTTGCTTCCTGCTGGGACCTACTGTCACTACCCCGGCCCCTTGCTATAAAAGAAGACAGACTCTCAGCCCAGCGGCAGAGAGATCATTTCAAAGTGTAAGTCAGACCGAGCCTACCCTGCGCTCAGATCCCCAGACAGCCTCCAGTCACACCCAGAGTCACAGCCAAAGCCCCAGCGCTGCCCTGCGGGGCCCTGGGTGGCCCCCTCTCTCCTCATTTCTCTTGGGCCCCCAGGTTCGTCCTTAAACGCTCTAGGCCTCCTCGTTCCACCTCAGGGCCATTGTCTGTGCTGTTCCCTCTGCCTGGAATGCTTGTCCTCGCATGCACCTGGCTTGACCCCTCATTTCTCTCGAGTGAAAGCCAGGATTTAGAGACTCTCTGTCTGGGCCTGTCGCCCTCCCCACCCCCCACCCACCCTGAGCTGCCCTGAACCGTGAGCCTCAGACCTCTCTGCACAACCCCGTCCCCAGCCACGCCTACCCCCACGCATGGCCCATGGCCCTCATACCTGCACAAACTTATTGTAGCTGATGAGGTTTTCGTTGGAGAGAACCTGGCTGATGGAGACAGGGTCAACCTGCTGGTTGCCTGTGAAGGACAGAAAGAGGAGGGGCAGGGTGGGAGCAGCCCCAGCAGAGAGGGCCACCTGCTCTGGGGAGCAGCCAGCAGAGACCAGTCTCGTGAGTCGGAAGCTCCCTGGCGTTTCCGCCTGACCTCTGAGCAAGCCTGGGTGTGAGGACGGCAGGGGCGGGCAGCTGCAGCGCATGAACGTGAGGCCTTCGTCCGAGCACATCAGAGTGGTGATGCTCCTTATTGGAAATGTAACCCCCACCTGCACCGGGCATTGGATGATGATTGCTCTTTTTTTGGCTGGGGTGGGGCAGAGAGCTGGGTCACCCACCTGCCCACCAGGACCCGTCTGATGGACACCGCTGAACCCTGTCCCTGACCTCCCAAGAGGCAACTGCTGAGCAAAGGGCCTCCCCCGGGCCCAGCTTCCCTGCCAGCCCGATGAAGTGCCCGTGGAGACGGGCAGGACAAGGGAGGTCAGAGCCAATGTCTCGCGACCCTCACAGCTGCCATTGCTTAATCTCTTACCCTGCACAGGCCCTGAGTCCAGGACTCTACACTCAACACCTAATTTAGTCCTCACAGCAACCCCACAAGGCATGCATTAACACCCCCACTTTAAAGATGAGGAAACTGAGGCTCAGAGAGGCAAAAAGATTTGCCCCAGGCTTTGCAGCTGGGAAATGGGGGTACTGATGATTCAGACCCAAGCCAAGTGCTCATGAAGGGCTGAAGCCTCGACCAAAGGCTGGACCCACCTGCACAGGTGCAGGCTCGGTTCCCCCACCCCCCCTCAGAGTAGAGACGCAGCTCCACATCATCCCCACCGAGGCCGCTGGGCCAGCCACTTCCCCTCTCTGAGCCCCACATTCTTGGGTGTGAAGCAGACTGTGTCATCCTCACAGGCTCTCCTGAGGTCAGATGGGAGCAGGTGCCTGGAGCACGCAGCCTGGGCCCAGCATGGTGCATGACCGCTGAGGCTTTGGGTCTCGGTGGCCGCTGCGCTGGTACCAGCTCTCTGGGGCCACCCGGTGGTTACATGTGGCTCGACAGCTGTGAATTCCCCTCACTGCTCGGCTCAGCGTCTCTCGGGGCCCTGCTCACTGCAAACCGCTCCTTCTAAGGAAGGAAGGTGAAGATGGCTTTCCCTCTGCCTGGTACATGAAATTTGGATTTGAGAATTTTTCAGGTTTGATCGGTGCTCAAGAAGTCTGTTCACAGTCCGGATGGGAGAGAGGGGGTTGGGAGAAACTGTATTTCTTCCATTTTACAGCTGGGGCTCCGGAGGGGTGGGAAATAGATGTGGGAAGTTACACTTGGGAGCGTTTAAGTTCTGTGAAGGCTTTCCTCTTGGAGGGAGGTTTGGTCCAGGGTAGGACTGCTCCTCAGCCCGGGCTCCAAGCTCCCAATAGATATTCCACTGATCAATCAGCAAAACTCAAATTATTCAGATTATCAAGACAGCGAGGGGCAGAGCATCGGATCCGAAGTGCTAGGCCCTTCGGCGCAGAGGAGCACGTATGACTGTGCTGGTCACGTGCCCCCAGAGCTGGCCGCATCTCCACTGTGCCCGTGACCACCCCCCGTCATCCACCGTGGCGCTCCCGGCCAGCTCTGCTCCCTTGGACAGTGGGGCCTCAGACTCGGGGGGACAGGGCTGCCTTACAGCAGGACACTCCTCTGTCAAGCGGTGATGTGGCAAGCGGGGAACAGCAAAGTGGTGACGAGGGGCACGGTACCCACCAACAACCCCTTGGAACAGGAGGGCGCCCCCGTGGCCCCACTTCTGCTTTTCCTGGAAGAGCTTGAAGCAGGCGCTGGGGCTGGCCAGGAGCATCCGGAAGCCCTGCGTGCAGAGAAGAGACTCAGCTGAGCCCCCCGCCTCTGCTCAGCTCAGCCCCGGGCCCAGCGCCGTCCCCCGCGTCCTCACTTTCCCGTCAGCGGCAGGGACGAAGCTCAGAAACTCATCCACGTGGCCGACCGCCAGCCAGTCCACGAACAGCTCCACGGGCGGCTGCACCTTCTGGGCGTGCAGGAAGTCCCGGACCACCTGGGTGACCCGGCGGCCCCTCGACCTGCGGCCCAAGGGGTCAAAAAGAAGTTAGCCAAAGAGAGTGTGCACAGAAACACAATGACAAGAGTTCAAGATTCCTGCAAAATCTGCAAAAAGCATGCGCTGCCTTTGTGATCAGGAAAGATAATAAATATATATTTAAGTTACACTCAAGGTGAGCTCTCTACGAGGCAGACACAGGCGTGTCAATCACAGCTTACCATCCAGGCCTCCCATCCAGGCATATCCTCGGGCCCACCCTCAGACCCCACCCTGGTGTTCTCCAAGCAGCAGATGTCACCCCCACATTCAGCCCACGCTGCGCAGTTCTTCCTGAGGTTTAACTGACGCCTCTCTTGCTGCAGCCTTGCCTTCTCACACATCAGCAGGGCAAGACGGTGATCTTGTCCCAGCATTTTATTTTCATGAACTCAAACCCCATGTTTCTCTTGCCTTCTGAAAAAGTATCAAATGGCATGGCCCAAACATCCTGTGTCTGTGAGATGACGTCTTTGAGGATGGGTGGTCCCCTTCAAAGCTTCTGGTTTCACCTGTTATCTGATCACAAGTCTGTTCTAACCACTTTGCTGAATTTGATTGGCTCTGTCTCAGCCTGCTGCTGCTGCTGCCGCTAAGTCGCTTCAGTCGTGTCCGACTCCGTGCGACCCCAGAGACGGCAGCCCGCCAGGCTCCCCCGTCCCTGGGATTCTCCAGGCAAGAACACTGGAGTGGGTTGCCATTTTCTTCTCCAACGCATGAAAGTGAAGTTGCTCAGCTGTGTCCGACTCTTATGACCCCATGGACTGCAGCCCACCAGGCTCCTCCGTCCACGGGATTTTCCAGGCGAGAGGACTGGAGTGGGGTGCCATTGCCTCCTCCGCTGTCTTGGTCTATTCCCGTAGCAAATAACCATTGTCACAGGATCCCTTTGTTTCCCCTCAGCACCCCTGCGTTGTATGTTGAGCAAGACACAGTCACTCTGTCCTTCTCTGTCTCACTGCTGTCTCGGTTTTCATGTCCTACACCTTCCTTTTGCTCTCAGGGAAAGATCTGGTAGTAGTCATTTACATCATAGTGTGAACAATCATTGATTTAATGCAATTTCTCCTGGGACTGCTGAGACTTAACACATTTTTCTTCTATAATTATTCACTGGTATCAGCATGGACTTATTTTATGAATCAGAAGACCCAAGTCTAGTCACAACTTTGCCTCCTGTGTGAACTTTCCCAGGTGACTCACCCACTCTGGGCCCACTTGTAAAACCAGAGTGTTGGACTGAATGAGCTCTTGGGTCCCCTTGCTCTGGGCGTCTCAGACCCCCTGAGATGAGAGTGGACGATGTCTGGGGGGCAGTCCTCTGCCCCCAGCACCAGCACGGCCTGGACTGCCATTTCACCACTGGTCCTCTCTGCTTCTCTTCCAGGAGCGGGACGGCCCTCCCCCAGCCGCCATCACCACCCGCCCTCCGTCTCTCACCCAGGCAAGTTGCCTCCGAAGAGGATCCGCCCCAGGGGGTACTCCTTCCCGTTGGCCACCACAGGGGGGCTGACCTCCAGGTTCCCGAAGGAGTCCAGGCCGCTCACAGAGTTGTCTCGTGGTTCCCGGGTCACGTAGCCGAAATCTGGACCCTGGGTGGGGAAACAGAGTCAGCCTCGGGGTGGGCAGGCTCACCAGGGAGCACTTGAACCTGCTTGCTGGGCTCTAAGCTCCTTAAAGATGGGGTGAGAGTGGCCACCCATTCTTCAGATAGAAACACTGAGTCAAAGATGGACATCTGACCTGACTGCTACTTCCTGCACGCTCAGAGGCTCATGCCTGCCGAATCCAGGACACACACAGCCCTCCAGCCCTGCTGCCATTTCAGAGCATGTTATTCCCCCTGGTCACAGGGCTCAGCAGAGAGGGCCAGGCAGCCCCCACACTCCCCGTGAGATGTGCAGCCCGGGGCTGTGGCTGCTGCTTTGTCCTCTGCGTGGCCTTCCTGTCCGTCTCACCCCTGGGCGGGTGTCTGCTGCTCTAGAGGGGCCTGTTCTCGGGGCCTAAGGGGCGGGTGACAGTCCTCTGAGCCTCAGCTTTCAACTCTAGGGAAAGAGACAACTCCCCAGGGCCGTCTCTTAGGAGGAATTTAGACAATCCTGAGGCCAGGAGAGAGCTCCTCCCACCTTCGTGACCCAGCGAGGGGTGGGAGGAGCCCTGCTGTCTCTATGGCACCAAGGGGTCTCCTGTTTTTCTCAGGAGGGGCTCGTCAGGACACATTCTCTCCCTTTTTATAGAAGTGATTACGGTGGTTTGTTAATTTCTGTTGTAAAGCACAGTGACTCTGTTCTACATATATATGTGTGTGTACAATTACATATATGTACTCTTTTCCTTATTCTCCACTGTGGCTCATCACAGGGTGCTGACCGTGGTTCCCCGTGATATACACTAGGACTGTGTTTATCCGTTCTATGTATCACAGCTTGCATTAGCTGAGCCCAAACTGCCAACCCTCCCCTCCCCTCTCCGCGTCCCCTTGCCAACCGCAAGTCTGATCTCTATGTCTGTGAGTCTGTTTCTGCCTCATAGATAAGTCCATTTGAAGACACCCTCTTTATTTTATTACAATACTAAAACCAGCTATCTATGTCTGTGCTTTCTCTGCATCGGCATGAAGAAGCTTCACAAACATCTGTGAGGCCTAGGCTAACATGTTTTTACTGATAAGGAAATTGAGGCTCAGAGAGGGGAAATCACTCATGCAGGATCACATAGCATGTGGGAGACGGAGCCGGTTTGTTCTGACTCCAGAGCCTTTTTTTTTTTTGAGAATAATTGCTTCACAATGTCATGTTGGTTTCTGCCATCAGCGTGAAGCAGCCCTAAGTAGACATACGTACCTCCCTCTCGAACCTCCCTCCCACCTCCCACCCCGAAGTCTATGTTCTTGACAGCTGCAGTCTCCTACCTCCCCTCCCCGTCTGGGGCTGCCAGATATAAACAAACATAGAGCATGGTCAGTTCAACTTGGATTTCATATAAACAATAAATATATTTTTAGTACATCCCATGCAGTATATGGGACACACTCATGCTAAAACAGTTCTCATGGTTTAGCTGACGTTCAGCCTTAACCCAGCCTCTCCAGTATTTTACCTGGCAACCCTACTCCCATCCCTGAAGAGCACAGCTCCCAGTCTGGCCCTCAGGGCAAAGCCCCTCGGCCTGCAGGCCCAGCTGTGGCCCCGACCACTCACCAGGATTCTTTTGTAAGGGAAGTTCTGCAGCTCGCCGTTCCTGGGGGAGTCAAAGACCACCGGGAAGGTTTTGTGCGGCGCCTGGATGTAGCCCAGCTCCATCTCGTCCTGCAGACCCGGGGGACACCAGCGGTGGACAGTCAGCAGCTTACTGCCCTTGATTGGCACTCAGGACTTTGGGGAAGACTGTTCACTCTGCCTCACGCCTGCTCTGCCCTTTGAGGACTGAGGCGGGCAGAGGCCGTGATACCTGCTGGCTGGAGGAAGGGCTGGAGGTTCGGGTGGGGGGTCTGCTCACCTGGGGCCACAGAGCAAGGCGGGTCAGGAATGAACGAGAATGGCCTCGGGGTGTCCCTGTGCTGGGTCACAGGACAGTGGGGACAGAGAGAGCTTCGGGGTGGCCTGAGTTGGACAAAGAGGCTGCCGGGCACCAGCCATCACACGTGGCCTCCACGTGCGGCCCTGGGGGACTGACAGTGAGCAGGGCCGAGGTGGCCTCAGGAGGCACAGACCTGCCTCCTTTCAAGCACGTAACACGCCAAGGTCAGTCCTGAGCCCTCTGGTCCTGGAGGCAAAGATAACCCAGCACTGATGGACTGCATGTCCAGCGAGAAGCTCACTAGAATGTCCCCAGCCCTGCTCCAAGGGTTTTACGAGTGCTAACTCCTGCAGACCTCACAATACGCCTATGTGGAGGCACCATGATTATCGCTTATCACAACCAGTGAAAGTGAGGAACAGCGGGGTCCAGTTATTTGCCCAAGGGCATACAGTAAGTCAATAGCATAGCAAGGATCCAGACCAAGCCTGTTTTTGCCCTGGAGTCCCGTCCTGAAACAACCCCTGGGACGAACTTCCAACTGAAATGAAAGCTTCTTAGCTTGGTGTTCAAGGCTTCTCACCTCAGCTCTTGCCCTTTGCAGAAGCTTGTGTTCATGCTAAGTCACTTCAGTCGTGCCAGCTCTGTGCGACCTTATGGACTATAGCCCACCAGGCTCCTCAGATTCTCCAGGCAAGAATACTGGAGCGGGTTTTCAGGCCCCACTCCAGGGGACCTTCCCGACCCAGGGATCGCACTGGCATCTCTTCTGTCTCCTGCATTGGCGGGCAGGTTCTTTACTACTAGTACCACCTGGGAAGCCCTCACAGAAGCTTGATCCTGGCCAAAGATAACAGCTGATGTCCCTTCTCACATCTCCCACCTCTGGGTCTTTGCACAGACCAGTCCTCTGCCAGGACCACCATTCGCTGAGTTCCAGCACCGCCTCACTGAGAGTTCCTTCTTTACTGACAGGGCGTTGTCAGGAAGATGAAATGATGCTAGGCATGGCCTGCAGGGAGTGCTCAATAAACCACACAGGTCATTAGCCATTCACCAAATCTGGTGCAGCTCAAATGCCTCCTCCAGGCAGTCCTCACTGATCTCCTTCACAGACAAGGGTGACTCCACCCGCCTCCAGGCCCCGCTGGGACTTTGCCAGCACCGCTGCTCCATCTCAGACAGTTGGAGCAGGGATTTCTGTCCCAATCATTCTCTGCGCCAGGGATTCTCAGCCTCGGCTCTCTTGACACTTGGAACCAGACAATTCTCTGTCGTGGGGGCTGTCCTGTGTATTGTGGGATGTTTGGCAGCATCCCTGGGGCAAAAACGACCTTCCATGGAGGATCACTGGTCCAGGCCGTTGAGGGCAGGAGCGGGCGCCCCCACCTCTGCCATCCCCTCCGCCCTGCCCCCAGTACCTAGCCCAGATCCTGTGGGTGAATGGATGTCATATTCAACGTCAGTGTGCCTGAGTCTCCAGAAGGTTCTGGAGAGGGGGGAGAGCTCTGGGTCTAGAATTAGAAAGAGCAGGGCCCTGGGGAGGGCGGACGCAGCCCCGGTCCTCCTGGATATTCCCAGCAGCCCCTGCGTTGGACGGGCCCCTCCCGCTGCAGGCTGGTGTCACTCACGACCCAGCGGCCGCGGTACCTGGATCCAGCGGTCGTTGCGGTTCTCGGCCTGCGGGCAGATGGTCAGCTTGCAGCCGGCCCTCCTGGCCAGCTCAGCCACCGCGTCCACGAAACACGTGTTGTTCCGCACGCTGCAGACGAGCCCAGAGAGAGTGCTCAGGACGCCGGCAGACACAGGGGCCAGAGCAGCCAACAGTGGCAGGGACACCCGGCGCCCCAGCTCACCGGCACACGTACACCTCCAGGGGTGGCTGCGTGCTGGGCGTCATGATCCAGGGGGCCACTCGGAACACCACGGTGTCAGCGAAGATGGGGGACTCGGAGAAACCCTGCAGGTTGAGGCCAGAGGGAAAGCAGACTGGCCTCGGGGCCCAGCGCCTGGCTGGGTCAAAGACCACCGTGGGCTCGAGCGAGCTGCTAGCTCCTTAGTTTCTGGAGAGACAGCAGCGGGTGGCCAGGATCCTCCACGCCGGGGGCGCCTGCCTCTCCTGGGGCTGGAGGCCGTTGCCCACCCTGTCCTGGCCCGCCCCTACCTCGTTGGAGTCGTCCAGCAGGGTGACGTGGAAGGCGACGAGCCCCGAGAAGCCGGCGTCGGGGAAGGACAGGCCCTCCACGAAGAAGCGCTCCTCGTCCCCGTGGAAGCGCGGCACCTCGTACGACACCTTGTTCTGGCCGAGCACGTGCCGGTATGCCTCGCAGGAGTCCGCGGGGCCTGGCGGGGGCAGAAGGGCCTTGCGAGGGGGCCCCGGGAGCAGGAAGGAGCGCGTAACCTCCCTGACACAATGGAAGCCACACAGCCACCCCCGCTTCTCACCTCCCACTCACAGAGGCGAGAGAGGCTTAACACTGAGGGCGGGCAGGTCTAGGGTGGGGCAGGGAGGGCACTCCTTTCTAAGGCCAGCGCTCAGGTCTTTCAGAGGGCAATTTGATGGTATCTAGGAAAGCAATGTTTACCCCTAACCAGAAAGCCCATGTCTAGGTAGGTGTCTTTCCTATAAAACGTAAGTAGAAGGTGTTCATGGGGTATTTACTGAGCACCTACTATGCACCATGGGGCTTCGGTAAAGCATCTGTCTGTAGTGCGGGAGACCCAGGTTCGATCCCTGGGTTGGGAAGACCCCCTGTTGAAGGAAATGGCAACCCACTCGAGTATTCTTGCCTGGAAAATTCCATGGACTGAGAAGCCTGGTGGGCTACAGTCCATGGGGTCGCAAAGAGTCGGGCACGACTGAGCAACTTCACTTTCACTACTATGCACCTAAGCAGTGTGGGTCAGGACTCAGGACACCGCTGTGGGCACAGTCCCTGCCCTCCAGGAACCGAGATTTCTGCAAAATCGAAACACTGCACAAATGCACGTTCAAGGGACCAGATCAGTTACAGCACCTCTATGCTCTGAAATACGATGCGACTGTGGAGGACAGCAAACCAGAGCTAAACAAACACACAGAGACGTGTGGGATGTAATTCTCGGTGACAGAAACCATGTGGAGGCAGAATGTGGACACACGCAGGCACACGCTCACGTACTCGCCAGGCATGTGCAGTGCGTGTAAAACAAATGTCAGGAAGAACATACCAAATGGTTAACAGAGACACATTTTAAGAGTCAACTTTTGGAGTTGGGTAGAGACTCTCATTTTTAACTTTACATACTTCTGTATTTCTAAAATGAACGTATTATTTACTCGTATTGTGTTGCCCAAAAAGTTACATATTACAGAAAAACCCAAATGCATATTTGCATTTTTTCAAGGTATTATATATCCTTGCTTGCATTAGTGATAATGACATTGTAGCTATGTAAAGCAATAGTTTGGGGTTTATCGGGGTGGACGGGAGATGCAGACTGAACGGAGGCAAATAGCCAGGGTGTCTGGGACTCGCTTTAAAACACTCCACCAAACAAGAAAGGATCGATCAAGTAAGAGAAGCAAAATAGCAGTCCTCGTTGAATCTGAGTGGTTGGCACACAGGGGTTCTTCAGTGTTCTCTCTGCTTCTGGGTATGCTTGAAAATTTTGATAATCAAAATTTTTAAACGTGCTTAAAATATATTTAAAAATGCATTCATCTGCTGAAACCATCTCGGGCACGGCTGTGCCAGGGACGCCAGGCAACCATTCGTGAAACTCGTGCATCTGATGCTTCCTCCTCTGGGCCCTCAAGGAGGCCCCAGAGCCAGAGCAGAGCCTGCACCCTGGCCTGGGTGGGGAAACTAAGCATCCCCCGCCCCCCGGGTAGGGAAGGACAGGCATCAACTCACCGCAGGCGTGGAACACCCGCGCCCGCTCGGCGTCAGCGCTGGAGGTGTGGAGGACGAGTTTGTGGTCGTCAAACAGAGCGTCAGGGCCTTGGGTACGCAGAATCATCACAGACATGTCTTCCAGGTCTGGGGAGCCAGACACAGGGCAGAGACTCAGGGGGACTCCGGCAGCCCAGCCCCTCCCCAGGGCAGAGGGTGCCAAGGCCTGGGTCTCTGCCCCAGCTCTGCCCACCCCATGGAAATACTGAGAGTCACGAGGACCAAAGCAGGAGCATGTCCGTAAGCGAGTGAGCGGTGAGCTGTTCCTGCCCTCTCAGCCTCCGTTCCTGCTCTGCCCATAAACAGAGGCGTGGGGCGGCCAGCCCGCTGCCTGGCCCGGGGTGGGTGTGCAGGAGCAACGAGCGGTGAGAAGGCCGTCCGAGCAGCAGGCGGGTCAGGGCTCTCCTCTCGGTCCCGGCGTCACTCGCTGCTGCCCGGGGCCGGCCCCTCCCTCCCGGAGCCTCAGCACGGCAGTCTCTGAAATGATCCTGCCAACTTTCAGAGTAGCTCTGGGCATCTCGTGGGTGAAGCCCCTGACCCACACACAGGACACTGACCCGGCATCCTTCACGGGGCCGTGCGCATGGCTCGGGATGGACTTAGAATGTAGAAAGTGCTCAGTCGTGTCTGACTCTTTGCGACCCCATGGACCTTATAGTCCATGGAATTCTCCAGGCCAGAATACTGGAGTGGGTATCCTTTCCCTCCTCCAGGGGATCTTCCCAACCCAGGAATCAAACCTGGGTCTTCTGCACTGCAGGTAGATTCTTTACCAGCTGAGCTACCAGGGAATGTGGGGCATCTCTGAAATCCAGGCCAGCGATGCCAGTGGGGAGGAGGCTGGATTTGGGGTTACAGGAACCTCGGACCCACCGCAGGCTGACTGGGTGACTTCGGGGATCCCCTGACCTCTGAGCATCAACATCGTCATCTCTGAATTTGGGGCAGGCCGCCCTCCCGCGTGGATGCTTAGATGAGAATTTGGGTAAAGGCTCCGACACACAGTAGGTGCTCAGCGTTAGCACTCTCCAAGCCTGGAGGGGGAGGAAGATGAGGCTGCTCCTCTCCAGAGCTCTGCCCCGGCGGGGGTGCCCACTGGCGCTGGGGTGCTGGGGAGGGGCAGGTTTTAAGGAACATTAAGGCGCGCCTGGAAGCTAAACCTCTGGCCCCAAGCTCTGCCTCCAGAGCCGCCCTTGTGGGTGAGACTCCGGGCGGGGTAGCTGAGCGGTGGCCCGGCGCCCCCTCACCTTGCAGGCAGCGCACGTGGCGGTCACAGTTGTCCTGGTCGTCAGAGCGCACACTGTCCCTGTCACAGTTCACCAGCAGGATGGCTCCGTACCCATCGGGTCCCCAGACCCACTGCCGCTGCCAACGGCGAAGCACAGCCGGTGAGGGGGGCTGCAGCCAGCCCGCGCCCCCTCCCCAGCTCTCTCCCGGCCACGATCCTCACCCTCCCCTTCCCTCTGCCCAGAGCCGAAAGACTCGCTCCCGCTCCTACCACTCACACCGTTCACACCGTCAGGTTCAAACGACAGCCTTGCAGGGCTGTCTGTGTCACGCCTCCAGCCAGCTTCCTCTTCTCCAAGAGGTAGCTTTCTGAGGATGAGACCCATCTCCCCTCCTCGGCTCCTGCTGCTCCTCCCAGCTGAGATGCCCTCCCTCTTGCGTAACTTTGGAGCCCAGCCCACCGTGGATTTCTTCCTTGCCCATAAAGCCCAACGTGACCTCCTCTGAACTCACGACGTCTTTGGTGCCACCACAATTCAGCCCAAAGTTCTTTTATAGTTTCAGACTTGATAGATTTCCTTTTCACATAGATTAGGGGGCCCGCATGCTGCAAATCTAGCTTACCGCCTGTTTTTCTAAATAAAGTTTTATTGGAACACTGACACATCTTTTCCCCCATATTGACTATAAAGCTCTTTCATTCTACACTGGCAGAATCAAGTCACTGCAACAGAGACAAGATGGCCTGCCAAGCCTAAAACGCTTACTGTCTTGCTCTTACAAAAATAAAGTTTGCCAACCCCCAACCTAGATTGAAAATCCAGAAGGACTTGTCCCCACAAAGGGAGACCTAGCTCAGGGCTGGGCATGTATGTGCTTAAAAATCCTTGATGATGCTTTTTCTGCCAGTGAAAGAAGATCCCCAGCCGTTCCTGGGTTGGCTCCAACTGGCCTTGACATCAGCTGGGAGGCAGGGGGATACCTCTGATGACCTCACCCCTTTTAACCCAGCCTAGAACAGCTCCAAACTCCATGCCCCTTTCTGGGTCCTGGCAGAGAGAGCCTACCTTGTCCACAAAGTCCCTGTCTCTGTCTTCACAGTTCAGGTCACAATCCAGGGTGATATCTGCAAGGACAGGGCAAAGGGTCAGTCACGACAAGGCACCCAGGGGCCCCGCACAGGCCCACGACCTCCACGTTTTAGCCCATCTCAGGGCCCATTCTGGGGCCAGACAAATGGAAGGCATTACCAAGAAGACAGTGCCCAAAGGTGGGAGCGTTTGGAGCCTCCCTCCCTGGGCTCAGGAAAGAGGCCTTGGGGAAGATGCAGCGTCAGAACAAACACCGAGGTCAAATGTTGCCACCTCCAGGAAGCCTTCCCTGAATTCCCCCTCTTCTGCACCCCCATAGCCCTCACTCTGTGGGGGACACGCTGCCCTGCACCGGGTGCCTGGGACATTCTAGGTCTCTGTGAAGCTCCCTCGCCTCCCAGGGATGGGCCAGTGAGCCCGGGTTTGCACCTGGGTGCCTGGGACATTCTAGGTCTCTGTGAAGCTCCCTCGCCTCCCAGGGATGGGCCAGTGAGCCTGGGTTTGCACCGGGGTGCCTGGGACATCCTAGGCCTCTGTGAAGCTCCCTCGCCTCCCAGGGATGGGCCAGTGAGCCTGGGTTTGCACCGGGGCGCCTGGGACATTCTAGGTCTCTGTGAAGCTCCCTCGTCTCCCAGGGATGGGCCAGTGAGCCTGGGTTTGCACCTGGGCGCCTGGGACATTCTAGGTCTCTGTGAAGCTCCCTCGCCTCCCAGGGATGGGCCAGTGAGCCTGGGTTTGCACCCGGGTGCCTGGGACATTCTAGGTCTCTGTGAAGCTCCCTCGCCTCCCAGGGATGGGCCAGTGAGCCTGGGTTTTGGCGTCAGACAACCGTGGACGTAAACCTAGACTCTGGCACCTACTGCCTGTGTGGCTCTGAGCCTCACCTTCCCCTCGTATCCCCGCCTCCATCCCACCTTCTTAACCACTCTCCCTAGAAAGTGGGAGAGGTTTTACAGTACACATGAAACCTTCAAGGGAGAGAGAGAAAAAAAATTGAAATGATTTTTAAATATGTGAAAAGATACTCAACCACCATACAAGAAGGGAATGAGTCTCACAAACGTAAGGTGGGGCTAAAGGTGTATACAGTGTGACCTCACGCAGACAGAGCTCAAAGGCAGGCCAAAACAGACTGTATGATCTGGGCGTGCCTATTCAGATGACAGAGCCATAAAGAAAGGAAAGGAAACATTCATCACAAGACAGTGGTTACCGTAAGGGAAGGAGCGAGTTACGATCAGAGAGGGGATTGGGGGTACTTTGGGGTGCTGGTCATGTTCCCTGTTCTATTTCTTGACCTGGGTGATGGCTGCTCAAGAGTTTGCTTTCTAACTATTCCTGTATCCACACCCCCCACCCCCGCCAACACACACATTCATATCGGGTTGACCTAAAAATTCGTTCAGGTTTTTCCATAAGATGTTACGAAAACCAAAACAAACTTTTTGGCCAAACCAATACATATGTATTTTTCTGTATGTGTATTTTCCAGTAAACAAGGTGTGGGTGTGTGTCTGGGGAGGGGGAGGCAAGGAGACCCCCAACCTCAGTCCAAACTAAAGGGAGGCAAATGAAAGCAACAAAGAGACGCTGACCTCTCAGACTGGCAAAAAGAGAAAAGGCTGGAAATGGACAGTGTTGGCAAGACCCTGCCCTAGCAGTTGGCAGGTGTGTAAGAAGGTATGGCCTTTTTGGAGAGCCATCTGGCAGTATCTATCACAACCGAAATGTTCATTCCCTGTACTCAGCGGTTCTGCTTCTAAAAATGCCTCCTGCAGACAGCGTTTTCAACGCTCTTGCTAACCTTCTTGCCCTCCGAAATGGCTGCCCCAGGGTGAACCCCACCCCTGATAGGAGTTTCCGGTCCCACATCCTTGGCAGTTGAGTATCTTTTCATCTGGGTTCTGAGCACTCAGGTTTTCTCCACTGTGATTCGCTGGTTTCTGTTTTTTGCTTATTTCTATTAATTGTTCTTATTGATTCTATTGATTCTTATTGATCAGCATTCTCTATTACCTGCAAACACTGATGCAGGCATGCGCACTGCAAATTGCTTCTCCGCAGTCTGACTTTGTATCTGTCCTCGGTTGGCTAGAAGATTTCCACTTCAGTAAAGTCTAGTTTATCAATCTTGCCCCAAGGGCCTGTGCTTTTGTTTTGCCTTGTTAAAGAAAACTTCTGACTACTCTGAAGCTGAAGAGACATTCTCTTCTAAAAGTTTAAGATGTTGACTTTCACCTGGAGGTTTTTTTAAATTTTTATTTTATTTTTAACTGGAGGATAAATACTTTACAATACTGTGATGGTCTCTGCCACACATCAGCATGAGTCAGCCAGAGGTATACATCTGTCCCCTCCCTCTTAAACCGGAGTCCTCCCACCTCCCTTCCCCTCCATCCCTCGAGGCTGTCATTGCACCGGCTTTAGGTTCCCTGGGTCATACAGAAAATCCATCTGAAGTTTGTTTTTGAGTATGACATACGGTGGGGAGCCGAGTTTATCGAGCATCACGGGAACACCACCTGCGCCTGGGTCTGTGTTCTGGTTCTCCATTTGTTCCGCTGGTGTTTATCCAGCCCATCACCACTCTCACTCTGCCCTTGGCTGAGGCCCCACTTACCCACACAGGTGAGGTAGAGCACCGCGTAGGCCAGGGGCAAGGAGTCTTGGCTGGAATGGTAGGAAATCTGAATCTGTAGAGAGATGGGCCCAGGGTCAAGCTGGCTGAAGCTAGGAGCCCAGCCCCAAAGCACAGGTCTTGGGGGACTGGGCAAGGAGGGCGGGGGGGAGTTCCCAGGAAACTCTGTCCAGCACCGACTCAGCTCTTTCCTTTCGCCTTCTCTGCCACTCATTCTTCCGTGCCTCGGTTAGCTCATTTGTAAAATGGGGACTATTTCTGAGGGATTCCATGGAGACATCCCAGTGCTGCTGCTGACTCCTGTGTGACTTCAGCAAGCCCCTGTTCCCCTTTGGATCTCAGTTTTGCCATTCATAAAATGAGGCGCTTGGTGCTGCAACTAAGACCCGGTGCAGCCAAATAAATAAGTACATTTTAAAAAAAGAAAATGAGGAGTTTGGCCTGGGCAGGGTGTAGGGACACCATCCTAACTGTGGGATTTGGACAGGCCTTTACTTGAGTTCTGTGACCTCCGCCAATGCCCTTCACCTTTCTGAGCTGCCTTAGTTTGCTCATCTGCAATATGGGCTTTGTACAGGTCCCTACAATCAGAGGACGGTGGTTCAGATTTGACACGATCCATGTAGAAGACTGATCTCGTAGGACGTGCCCAAGAAATACCAGCTCTTGTTATTAGAGGGCAGGGGGCGTGATGTATGCACCGGTGCAGCGTTCCTGAGTCAGACGGCCTGGGCTCGGAGAGGATATCCTGGGAGAGTTACTCTGCCGTCTGGGCCTCCCTTTCTTCCGCTGTGGAACGGCGCTGATAATGGCTCCGTGGGACTGATGACAGGTTGTGCGGATTAGAGCCGGAAAGTGTGGGACGTCTGGCACCGAGCCCACAGCACACGCCCGTCAGCTGCTAAAGGTGAGGCTGAAGACGGTGATGATAAAGCGAACTCCAGGCGGAGGCATCGAGCCCTTTCACCCGCCGCCCTCCGCCGGGACGTTCCCTCCTGATGCGGTCCCTCAGCTCTCTGGCTCTGACGTCCTCTCTCCCAGGGGCCTCAGGAACTTACCGAGACCCATCCCTCCTCAGTCCTGGGAGCCCCGAAATCCTGCAGCTGCAAACCCCCGTGTGTCAAGCCCCAGCAGGCATGCTGGCTTCAGGCACACGATTGCCAGGACCCCGGACAAAGGCAGGGGCGTTCTGATGACCCTTCTCATCCCTGTGGTCCTCGGGGCCCAGGGATTCAGAGTGGCAGCTTCTGCACCGTCTCTGGATCAGTGCTGGGCGCCCAACGCAGGCTGGCCCAGCTTCTCGCCCGGCCCCGGGGGCCTCTGTCCTGGCCCTCCCCAACTCACTGATCACTAACCACGTGACCTCCGGCAAGCCACGCCCCTTCCCGGTCTGTGCCTTGTGAACTGGATTCGTGGAGTCCTGCCCCGCCTGCCGCAAGAAACTCCGGGATAGGCTAATTCGGATCCCTGGGTGGGAACGACGCAGGGCTGACGGAGGGAGCTCGTCCCTAGGCGCCAGGCAGGTCAGACCCCTGAGCTCTAGCTCCCCCACTGACCAGCTCTGAGGCTCCGGGACGGTTACTCTGAACCCCAGTGGCCACCCCTGTGACCTGCGCATCAGACCCCGCCTCTGAGGGCCGTCGTGAGGGCTGGACACGGTCAGTGCTCCTTAAAGGGCCAGTTTCCCGAAACCTCGCTCCCGATGTGGAGCGGGAACCTGCCGCCTGCACGACAGACCTGACTCCCACTGCCCCTTTAAGGGGCGTCTTCTGCTCCAAGTTCACGGACCACCCCGTCTCCCCCATTTCTTAAATGTCCCCTCCCCTGCGGCCAGAACACTGCCTCCAGCCCGGCCTCGTCAGACTAGCTCTTCTGGCTGAATGGGCAGAGAGCGGACAGGAGGGCAGGCACCCTGCCTGAGAAGGGGGCGGGTCAGGAACGCAGCGGACTGGGGAAGGTGAGGCCCCGAGGGAAGGGGCCCCCGGGGCAGCTGCTCCCCTCTCCACCTCTGCTTTCTCTCTCGCAGTCCTAGTAATGGGGACTACGAATCGACCCACAGCCACAGATGGGGAAACTGAGGCTCCAGGAGGAGATGAGAGTGGCCAGCAGACCCACGGTTTGTGTTCATATGTCGCAGAGCTGGCAGCTCCAGAGCTGGGCCCTTGCCCTCTGGGTTACCCTGCATTCTGGATAAGAGAGGGCACTGGGCCTTCGTGAGCTGGGTCATCCCCCCACCCCCAGCCACCCCCCCAGACAAGGGGACGCACTCACATGACTGTCGTTGAGCTCGTTGCTGGGAGAGTTCATGACCACGATGATCTGTGAGCCCACGTCAAAGTGCCAACGCCGGGTATCCGCACGCTCCCGGTCCCTCTCCGCGTTGGGGCAGATGTAGATGTCCACGCCAGGGGTTCCATAGACCTCGAACATCTCTGTGCCCTCAGGAACGGAGCTGGGAAGGATAGAAGCCATGTGCTTCAACTCCGGCTCAAACTCTGCTTCCTCCAGGAAGCCTTCCCAGACTACCCCAGGCTTCTTAGATGCTTCCAGCAAGCTCCTTGGAGTCAAACTCGGACCCCACACAGATATATATAGTCTAATATTTCAAGGTTCTGTGTTCATTAACATTTCCCTCGTGAGTTCTCCAGGTATTCACTGTAGCATTTAAAAGTCCATGCTGTCCAATGGCCCTGGGACTTCCTGCCCCCACTCTAGCTGCTCTGGGAGTCTTGTTTGAAATTAGTCTGTTCCTCCTGGTGGTCTGGAGGGTGCCCATGTGCATGCAGGAAGAAGCATCCACTGCCCCAGAGCTGTCAAGCCAGCTGGAGAGCTGAGGACAGCCCTGCCCAGGGCAACCAGATGGGTCAGGAGGCAGTGGATCACATAGGGAGAGGCTGCTGCGGGGAGAGGAACTGGAAGGCTTCCTGGAGGAAGCAGCATATCCACCCACCCAGCAGGGGGACAGCGGTAACGGACACTGGTTGAGCTCTTGCTCTGTGCCAGCCATGTTCAAGTTTCATTATGTGTATTGTCATGTAATCCATTAAAAAGCCCCAGGTAGGTACTATTACTATCTCCCATTTTACAGATGGGAAAACTGAGGTTAAAGTAAACTGTCCAAGGTCCTGGAGCCAGTAGGTGGCAGGACTGGGATCCAAATCCAGGCCTCCTGGCCCTTGAGTCCACATTCTTACCCAGGTGTAATGACAGAAATTGAAACCCTCAGGGCCCCTCCCCTGCACAATTACCATGGTGGGCTTGGCTAAGCCTTCCCAAATATCAGCTCATCTAATCCTCTGCACAGTCCCATTTAATGTGGGGGAAACTGAGGCTCAGGCTGGGCAAGAGGCATGCCCAAGCTGCATCCTGGCCACAGTGCCTCCCGCCCCAAGGCCCTCTCTCTTCTCTGCCTCCGCATGGAGGAAAGCAGGCTTCCTCCACTCTTCTGCAGGCATGATCCTGGCACTTCTCAGAACAGCTTCCCTTTATAGTAAGAGAAATATACGAAGCCCAAACTGTACTCCATCAGGCGGGTCCCACTCCGGGGCTCAGCCTGCCAGGTGTCCTCACCAGCTAGGAGGAGCTGACACACGTGTGTCTCCTCCCAGGCAGGGCTGCCAGATTTAATAAAATATAGAACATGCAGTCAGACTCGAATTTCAGGTAACCAACAAACAGTTATCTTAGCATAAGTATATCCCGTGCAATATTTGGGACATACTTAGACTAAAAAATTACTCATTCTTTATTTAGATCTCCAGTTTAACTAAGTGTCCTGGGTTTTATCTGGTAACTTACTCCCCAAGCTGTCATTTCCAGACCTCTATTCTGCTGTGCCCTGGGTCTGCGAGCCAGACCATCGAGGGACAAGAAGGGCCTGCACAGAGAGGCGTGGGGACACAGAGACGGAGAGACAGGTACGGAAGCCAGAGAGACAAAGACTCACACAGCTGGGCCCGGGCATGAAGGGCTCCCAGCGGCCCCCACAGCCCAGGTGCTGCTCGGACCCCAGGCCTCCCCAGTTAGAGCGGCACACCTTGGGTGGTCCTTCTGACAGGACACCTACCCAGTTCCCAGGCTGCAGACTCTGGTTTGGGGTATTTCAGCCCAGCTCCCCTGTACCTTCCCAGCCCAGGCCCCGTGTGAGGCTACAGGGGACCCCAGATGAAGACGGAAGCAGCCCTGTGCAGGAGGGTTCCCAAAGAAGCCAGGGGCTCAGGGGTGCCAGGACCAGGGTCAGGATGCAGGTTTAGACCAGGCCGGGCTGCCCTACATCCAAGTGACCTTGAACAGATCACCGGCCTCCATGGGCTCTGTAACCTTGCCTTTAAAGCGGGGTAATGACACCCACTGGGCCAACCGCAGGCAGTCATGAGGCTCAAACACGATAATAGATGGAGCAGTCTTAGAAAACTACCAGCCAGGAAGGGGGAAGGGGTTATTAGGGTAAATTAGAGCATAGGAGGCGGGCATATGGGAGCAGGCTGAGCCCGGGACTGGGGTGTCTGGGGAAGCTTCACAGAGGAAGGAACTAAGGACAAGGAGGAGACACGGCTAAAGGGAAGGGGTTTCCAAGTGGGGCCTTCGGAGGCCAAGGGCAAACTCAGGCGGGAACGGGCCCATTCCTATGTAATGGGCGCTAGCAGTGGTTCCGGAGTAGGAGGTGACCCGGTGGGGCTGCGGTGAGGCGGCTAAGCCAGGGACTCTGGGGCCAGGCCGCCTGGGTCCAAACCCAGTTCCACTGCTCATTGCTGCGTGACCTTGGCCTTCCTGTGCCTCCGTGTCTGCATCGATGAAGTGGGGGCGATGAGCAGAGGAGAAGAGTGTGTTTGTATGATGAACGGGATGAGCGCACGTTGAAGGCCCCTGAACCCGTGCTGTTATTTTCCTGCCGGAGAAACTGAGGCCCAGATGAGACTGGCCTAGAAGGCAGTGCCCTGGACCCCTGGCTCAGGGTTTATGCCCCCACACAGCTGTATGTTAGGAAGACTGAAGTGGCGGCTGCTGGGGGAAGCCCTGTGTCAGGATGGGAGGATCTGGGCTCCCCTGGAGGGCACGGAAGGTGGCCCGAGGCTCACCTGGATGAAGTTCCACCTCTGGTGAGGCCACCCCGAGCGCAGCCTGCTGCTCCAGATGGCACCCCAGCCCAGCCCTGGGCACACACAGCTGGAGGCTGTGCCCTCCCCCACACGCGGGACCATCCAAGACCCTCTCCGTCGCCAAGTCCTCTCAGGCAGCTGCAGGACTCCACAGCCGAGGAGCTGGTGCGTGCTGGGGAAACACGATGGGGTCATCCACAGTTCTGGTTTGCCAGGGACCAGGGCATTTCCTGGGGTGCAGGACATTCAGTACCAAGATCTAGGAAGTCTTAGACAAACAGGGACCACTGGTCACCCTCACGGCATCAACCTCAGACCTACTTGTTCAAAATGCAGATTCCAGAACCATAAGTTCTGCATGCAGAGCTCTTTTAAACCATATGGATGTCCAGTGAAGTCTGAGGACGTGGCTCAGGAGGGCTGTCTCAGAAATGCTGGACCCTGCCGCCCCCTCCCAGGGAGCGTGGAGGGGACTCAATGTCAGCTCACGCAATCCTGGGCATCAAGACAGCTCAGGCCTTCCTTTAGACTCGTCCACCCTTTTAATGGTGAGGAGGATGGTGACAGTGATGATGCAGACGGCTCCCCAAGCCACCAGATGTCAATACTATTTCCCCACCTTACAGATAATAAAACAGAGGCTCAGAGATGACAGGTGACTTGCTCAAAGCCACACAGCTGGTGAGGGACAGAGCCAGGACTCAAGCCAGCTCTGCCCTCACTCCCTTGCAAACCGAAACCCACCCTCTCCCTCTGAGCTCTTAAGACCTCCACCTCTGGGAAAGCAAAGCTAGACATTTTAGAGCTGGGAAACTGATGGGAAAGGTTCTTTGTGGCTGAGAACAGCCAGGTTGATGAGATGACCACCACGGTCCCCAAGGAGCCGGCCCATGGGAGTAGGGGCGATCTCGGCCCAGAGCGCTCAGGATACCAGCTGCCCCTCTGTGTTCAGTGAGGCCCCAGCTTCCCAGCCCCATCAGCCTCACCAGAAGCATGCGGTCCAGAACTCACTGCCCTCCTTGATCCTGCGTCCTCCTGCCCCTGGAAAGTGCTGGCCGCACGCACGCCTTATACAGAGTCCAGGTAGCTGAGGGCTAAAGATGCACCTGCCTCCCGGACTCTGCTCTTTGCACGGGCAGGTCAGAGCTCTACATCAGACAGAAGCTGCTGCGGACAGAGGGGAGCTGCTTTGTCCAATCGGGGGGCAGGTTCAGAAGCCTCCGTGAGCAGAGCCTGAAAGCCACTCTTCGACGCCAACCTGTCTGGGGTACACTTGCGGAAACTGAGTCCCCGGAGGGAGCAGAAATGTGCTCAAGGTGACATAGCAGAGGGTGATGGAACCAGGGTCAGCACGCAGGGTTCCGGCCCCAGGCGCCCCAAGCCTCTTCATTCTGCAAGACCGCCTCTGCTGAGCACGGGATGAGCTGTCTGCTCTTCCAACTAGGGATGGCATTCTCAGTCCTGGCTGCAAGCCAGCGCGTGGCTCATCACATCTGAGTGTTACCCTTCTCCTGAAGAATCCCTAACAGGGAAAGCGGAACCTCTGTACCAAGCCTGGGCCACCTCCAACTCAGTGGTAAGAAGGAAGACAGGGTTTAATCCGCTCGTGATTAGAGATCCCAGGGGTCCTGCTCATCCTGCAAGGCTCTTCCTCCAGGAAGCCCGCCCTGACTGCTCAGCCTATGCTAATTTCTCTTTTCTCCTCTCTTCCTTCTCCCAGTATGGCTCAGAGATTATTTCCCTGCCATCTTGTGGATGGTTTGCGGACACTCGAGGCTGTCTAGAGAGCCAGGAAAGATACTTAAAATGATGATGGTGGTGGTGATAATGGCAGCAGTTACGATAATTGAATGTTCACATGCCAGGCATCGCCTACATGCCCTACACGCACAATCTCGTTCAATCGTCCCAACAGCCCTTTGACGTGACGGCCAAAGTGCTCAGGCTGCCTTCTGGGCCTGCCTCTCCTCCCTGGCTGTGTAATGTGGGGCAAGTGACTTGGCCTCTCTGTGCCTCAGTTTCCTCATCTCTGAAATGGGGATGAAGACAGCACTGAGTTAGCATTAGTCACACACACTTTAGGGCAGTGATGGGCGTGGACCAGGCTCTAGGTATCGTTGCTGATATAATTATGACCTTCATTCTACAGATGAAGAGTGACATGGGAGGTTAGGTGACTTTCCCAAGGTCAGACAGCTCTTAGGAGGCAGAGCCAAGAGCGACCACCACGTCCACTGCCTTTCTCCTGTTGGCCCACAGTCTGAGCACCCAGGATTGCTGAATCACAGCATCTCCGAGTCAGAAGGGACTTTAGAATTAATCTAGCCCTTGCTTGCTTACAAGACAAGAATCCTTTCCACAGCACCCCTGCGAGGTGGTCCAGCCTCTGCCAGAATTTCAGGAGAGTTCTCAGAGGTCAGAGACCACATCTGCTCCTTCACCACTGCATCCCCGTGCCTGGCACACACTAGACCCCAAAGGAATATTAATACTTGATGAACGTGTGGATGAAGAAACTAGGTGCTCCTCCCCATCCCCGAGACGGGCTGGCTATCGGAGGCCCAAGAGTCTCTCATTTGAGGCCAGAGGCTCCCCCGCCGACCCCATGACTGTCCCACCCACAGCCTCCTCTGTGAACCCCAAGGTGGCCCGTCTATTCACATCACCCCAAGACACTGCCACCTCTGCCACTCATGGTCCGAGGCCATCCTCCATCCTCTAGAAAGTTCTGCAGGGGAGGAGCCGGTCCCAGACTTCCTGTGGCAGGTCAAACAAGAGACACAGCTGCCCGACGGGCATGGGGTAGGCAGGGCAGGTGAGTCACCCCCACGGGCATGCAGAGCTGGGGGAGGTGGTGGCGCCAGCTGGCACAGGCACCCCTCCTCATCATCTGGGGCTTCTCTCTGAGTCAGGAGCAACCAAGTCCCCTCCTCACTCCTCACTGCCCACCCACCCTCAGCCCGCAGACTAGCTCCTCAACTCCTCTCTAGTGCCCTGGGACCTACCCCATCTCTGCGTCTAAGTTCACTCCAGTTTTTAAAGTCTTAGTTCAAAATACTGGTTCTCAGGTGGGGCACACTGGGCGATGTCCAGAGATATTTTGGATCATCACAAGTGAGGGGTGATCACTGGCATCTGGTGAGTAGGGGCCAGAGACACTGCTTAACATCTCCCAGGGCACAGGCTGTTCCCTCAGCAAGGAACGAGCAAGGAACCAGCAGTGCTGAGGCTGAGAAATGCAGGCTCGTCTCAGGAGAGGGCGGAGAGCTTCGCGATGGGAAGAGTGGCAGGTGCGGGCTTCCCCTCTCCGCCCCCTGAGTACTGGTGTTCCCCGACCAGCCTTGGACCTAGGACCCTTGAGGATGCCTTAAAAAGTGAAGTAGCTGGCTTCCTGGTGGTTCCCAGCGCCCAGCTTCTGAAGCCCTGCCCCAAGTCTCCTCTTCTTCCTGGGGGAGAGAGAAGACGGGGGCCTCCCCCAGCCTCTGGCTTTACAGCCACAGCCACATGGGAGCAGGGGCATAAAGCACGGGTGCTGCTCTGTAAGTGGCAGGCGGCGGAAAGCAGAGAACAAGACCACGAACGGCTTTAAGCTCTGGCTTTGCCACTTGGTAGCTGTGTGGTTGAGCCAACAGCTTGCTCTGCCTTGCCTCCATTTCCACATCCATCAGGCAAAAGAAAGCTAATAAACTCAGCCCCTCGGGTTGTTGTGAAAGTCATGTTTGGGAGTTAAAGTTCAAGGATTAAATTCAAGAGGCTTGTCAAGCTCTTAGAGCAGTGCCTGGCACAGAGTAAGCGCTATGTTGAGTATAAGTGATTTTTTACAAAGGGATTCATGCCTGGTTTGCAGAGCTCATAAGCTGGGGGTGTGGGTGCCCCTCTTCCTAGTCTGGTGTGCCCAGTGAGACCCCACAGCCCAGCCTGCAGATCGTCAAGACAAAGGAAAGAGCCCGAGCCCCTGACCCAGAGCTACAGGGCCTTTCACCCCCATCCAGTCTCCCACACTTCACGGCCCCCTGGCTGGGGTTTTGAAGAAGCCCGGCTGAGAAAGGCAAAGACCTCCTTTCATGCCTGGCTGCTGTTCCACGGAAGACTCAGGAGAGGGCGGCCAAGTCAGGAAGCGCTCCAGATGGCCTGCAGGGAGAGCTCGGGGGTCAGCACCAGGGGCCCGCAACTCCCCAGGCTTTCGGCTCTTACCCATAAATGTCCACCAGGGTCTCGACTCCAGCCACGCACACGGCACTGGTGGGGTGTTCCAAGGACACGCGCACAATCCTCTGCAAAGACATGCTGGCCTCCACCTGGGCTTGAGCCTCAGAAGCCCCTTGGCATGTGGTTTAAAAGACCCTGGTCCCGCCCCTCCAGCCCCAGGTGCTAGCTCATTGGCTCCAGTCCCAGAAGCCCAGCCCCTTCCCAGAGCCATGAGCTCAGGATTGGCGGGAAGAAGCCAGGAGTTTGCATACGAACCTGTGGCTCCCACCCAGGCCCACAGACAGTTAATTTCTCACTTTAAGGAGAGAAAGTTAAGTCCCTTAGGTACCTGGCCAGGGCACCAGGACCCTGGAGGGGTCAGAGGTGCGGGGTGTTGATCAGGAGACCGTTCTCGATTTCCACACTCAGCCTCTTCACCCCCTTTTCCTGTCTTTTCAGAGACAAGATGTCAGTGGGGAGCTTCTCTGCAGTGCTGGGAAAACGGATGAAAATGCAGATTCCCAGGTCTAGCCTCCAACTTGATAAGCAGCCTGGCATCTGGAGTCTTTTTTCTTTTTTTGATTTGGACCATTTTTCAAGTCTTTATTGACTCTGTTACAGTATTGCTTCCATTTTATGTTTTGGTTTCATGGTCGTGAGGCGGGTGCTACCTTAGCTCCCCAACTAGGGGTCAGAGCTGCACCCGCTGCCCCAGAAGGTGAAGTCGCAGCCACCGGACCCCCAGGGAAGTGCCCCGGAGTTTTCCTGGTTTTGTTTCTCACAAGTGGCCCTACAGCATTTCTGAACTGACCTGAACTATAGCATGTCAAGGCACTTTGAGGAACACAGTCTTTTTCTTAAGAGCACGGATTTTCCAGGCTGGATCGCCGCCCTGCCACAATTACTTCCTGCCTGAGTGACCAGGGGCAAGGCATTTACCTGCTCTGTGCCTCAGTTAGGCATCTGAAAAACGGTCGTTGAGAGGGTTAGTGGGGACAGCGTGAGAAGAGCTCCAGTGTGGGGCTCAGCACTATTTTATGATGGGTGTTGTTGTTATTGTTACTATTAGTAGATGCCAAAAGCTTCTGGAAACACTCTCTGGCCAGGAGGACCTTAGAAGGTCAGGATAGGAAGGCTCCCACTTGTCAGGTGGGGAAACCGAGGCCAGGGAGGGCGCTTGGCCTCCTGAGATGGTGGGAGCAAGGTCTCTGGGAGAGGAGTCTTGGGCTGGGACCCAGGCTCCGCCAGGCACCGGCTGTGTGGCCTTGGGGCTTTGTACCCTCATGGTGCCCTCATCCGTGGAAAATGCGGCTAGGCACCAGTCCAGCAGAGATAATAGCGGGACACACCCTGCCCAGGGAGGCCCAGAAGGTGCTGAACAGAGGTTTCCTCCCTCCTCCCTGGGGATGCCAACAGTTTGGGGCAGGGTGGGGACAGGATCTGATTCCCAGAGTCCCTGGCTGGGGTGTTTGCACAAGTTCAGGGATCTCAGCAAGTCTGAGACTGGCGCTCCAGTACCCGACTCGGTCTGCAGAGGGTGTTCTTCGCAAGGAGAGATGCTGGGTCCAGTGACAGCTTCACCTTTCTGGCTATAGCATGGCTTGGGGGCTGAGCTTGCTCTGGGCAGCAGTGAGAGCTCAGGAGGAAATGCCAGGCAGGGGCCTTAGCCTGTCTGTGGACACAGTTGGGAAACAGATGCACAAACCAGGGCATCCCTCTGGGCCTGGCCGGCTGTGCAGGGGAGGACCAGCCTCCTGCTCGGAGCCTGGAGCTCTGTACTTGGAGGTGGACCCCTGCTTCACCTCTCCCCGGTGGACACATGCCAGCTTTTAGAAAGAGATCTGTGGTTTATTCAGACTAAAGTGTCCATGACTGACAAGCAGCCACTTTTTGCTTTTTAGTCCACAACAAACCTCAAATAAGGTGAAAGAGGGAGCGAGTGTCAAAGGAGCAATTTAAGGCAGAACCAAATATGTAGGATATTTTCAGGCCTCTGAAATCAGACCACTGAGGCTACGTAGCTTAGTAGGTTTCCAGGCAGGAATGAAAGGGAATTACAGTGGCCTGTGGCCCTGAACTTCAGTCCTGCTGGGGACTTTCCCACCCTGCCGACAGCCCCCCTGCCCTCTGAGAGAGGGAGGAGACAGCCCAGGGAAGGGAGAGGGGTGAAGAGATAGGACGCACCCTCCTCTGATAAGCATCTTGGCAAAGCAGGAAACCTCACACAACGGGCATGTGACAGCCATTCTGCTGCGGCAGCCTGCCTGCCTGGCACTGGGGGCTCTCCCCGCTGGGTGGGGGCTGCCCATGGCCAGCGGAAGTTGAGCCCAGGAGCTGATGGCACAGGGGGTGGGGCTGAAACCAGCACCGCAGCACCACCCCCCACCCCCCCATCTCCGCCACCTTGACTTCCCTCCCCTCCTGCTCACGGCCCAGAGAGCAGAAGCTAAGAGACGGGCACTGGAAGACGTGCGTGTTGACGTTTTTATTCATCAGAAGGAAGGTGACCGGTCACCCGGAGCATTCTCAGAGGGAACACCGGCCCCACCCGCTTCCAGAGCTCGCGGCCCGAGTGCCCTCCGGAAGGCCCGCCCCGCCCTCCCGTCCTCTGCCACGCCCTCCCGTCCTCTGCCACGCCCCCTCCCGTCCTCTGCCACGCCCCCTCCCGTCCTCTGCCACGCCCCCTCCCCTGTCCCCGGGAACCCTGGCTGCACGCCTTCGGCAGCTGCAGAGCTGCCTTCCCTCCTGCCTCTGCCCGGGGGCATCAGGATGGTGAGCGGAAAGCGCAGAGATCAGCCCGCGGCGTGTAAATGGGGTTCCACGGAGCCTCCTGGAGGGGGAGGAGCCGGGTACACCGCCCCGCCCCGAAACCAGAGCAGCTCCGCTTTCCTCAGGTTCAAACCTGTGGTCTCCTCTGATGGCCAAGTGGTCCGCGGTTAAGAGGATTTAAAGGGCAGGAGGCTCAGTCTGAGTCTCAGCGGGAACCAGGGGCTCGGAGCTTCGGAGCTGGCCCCCGCGACTGCGGGGAGGACGGCAGGCCCGTTCCCTCCCGCCCCCGCCGGCCCCGTGCGCCGCCGCCTGCCTGTGCCCTCACCCGGGGCCAGGCTGCCAGCGCCCCGAGGCACTGCCTTCCCTCCCCGGGGGGCACACAGGCCTGCCAGGGGCCTTCCTCACAGGTGGAACCCGGGTCTCGGAGCTGCTGAGGCAGACTGGGAAGCCTTCCCTCCCACTGCCTGCAGAGGAGAGGGATAATTAAGGGCTATTACAGGAGATTAAACCGCACCCGCAGAGATAACCCAATGGTCCTTCCCACCCTCTTCCGACATCCGGGCCTCCCCTCCTTGCTGGATCCGGATCAGCCATGCCTCATCGCACCTGGAACCCAGACTTCAAAGCCTGGGAGGCCGCGGGGGCGGAAGCAGGTCCAGGGAGCCTCCCTGGGCCTCAGGCCGTGGCCGGCCGGCCTCCCCACTCCCGCCCGGCCTGCCGACTCGCTTTGGCCTCTGTGTTGTTTGAGCCGGAAGCAGCCGGCATGGGTAATTAAAGGCTTTCCACACCGGAAGCAAGCACCCTTCTGAGCGTGGAGTCAGGCATTAAAAGGGGTTTTGTTGCCTTTTCTTTTTAAAACAGGCCCACGGACACAGAGTGTTTCTGTCCTATTTGCCTATGCAAATATGGCTGAGGGGTCCCTGGAGGTTACAGCCTGGGGGTCCCCCTGCAGGAACCGATAGCTGGTAAAGGAAAGGGGCCCCAAATCCCCCTTCCCGGCCTTACTCCAGTCACAGGTGGGCCGAGCCCAGGGCCCAGGCCCTGTGGGCCCCATTCTTGGTGCAAACACAGAGGGAGTCATCTCAGAACAGAGTGGGGCAAGTGAAGCTGGGGCACCCGCTGAGGGCACGCGTGGTCATCCTGGACCGTGCTAAGGCTGCTGGCCGTCTCCCGAACCTCTGGGAGCTGTGGGTGGCAAAGAGGCAAGGGGGCGAGGAGGGCTGTCCCCCTCGAGCTGAGGGTGAGGTGCCCACCCCTGTATCCTGGTACCCGGGACCAGCACGCTTGGGGGCGCTCGGGGGAGGCGCACAAGGCCCCCCCCGAGGATGGCGGCCAGGTGGAGGCTCTTCACCCTGGCTGGCTTCCCTGGCGGGGGTCGGGAGGACGCCGGGCGGGGCCGGCTCAGGGCACCACGTGCCACCACTTGAAAGGGAAGGGCTTCCGGCGCACGTTGGTGCCGCAGTGGATCTCCCCGAACAGCTTGTGGTAGGACAAGTAGTCGTCGATGAAGACACAGTGCAGGCCCAGTGGCTCCAACAGGGACCGCACCTTCTCCTCCAGGCAGCAGCGGCCGTTGATGATGGGCCCGAAGGGCTTGGGGATGCCCAGGTGCTTGCCCAGCACCACCATGTTCACCTGCAGAGAGGGGGCGAGAAAAAGCCTGGCTGGCTGGGGCCGCTCTACAACCGGACCCCTTCTGGGTGCAGGTTCGGGCAGCCCCACCACCAGGGCCCGCTCATCTCATCTCTCATCCCCGGCCACCAAGGGCGGCCCTCACTCAGGAACTAGGGCCTCTGGAAGCAGCAAAGATACAGATTCATAGTTGGAAGAGAGGGTTGATAACAGGCAGGGCTTGGGATTTCCCTGGCAGCCCCATGGTTAAGATTCTGTGCTGTCAGTGTGAGGGGTGTGGCTATGATCCCTGGTCGGGGAACTAAGGTCCTGCAGGCCACGCGGCATGGTCAAAAAATTAAAAAGTAATAATAGTAACAGGCAGCGCCGCCAGTAACATACATGATAACGTCACATCAATAAAAGTCACCCTTCCTCCAACACTTTCCTAGTATCAGAAGATTAGATGACAGTTCTGTTAGAACAAGACTTTACCATCATCTGCCAGAAAACTTGTCAAGCAAAAGCACCCGTGTACAAGGTGCGCGGGTCACAGGCGTGGTGCATCTGTGCAGAACACATTGTGCTCAGCCGTTCCTGGAAGCCCTGGTAGGTGTCACCGTTGCCTGAGCATACTCTCTGTGCCGGGTATAGCATCGCTAAACCTCACAGCCTCCCTGCGAGGTGTCATGCCTTGGACAGGTTAAGTAACGTAATA